GGTAGCTCACTTCATCTTTGCCTCTGTGGTGTAAGCCCAATACAACTGCCTGCTTCACGGGAGACGGCTCTCCCCTCGCTGCTGTTTGTGTTTGCACCGCGGGCGCTATCACAGAGTAGAAACAGAGTTTTTAGGAGGAGCAGGCATAGGCCAGCCACATGGGCCAGCCATAGGTTCGATTTGGCTCCGGCCTGCTAAGTCTCGATAATTCTTCGCTACGACACCGCCGATCCGACGCAAAGACGGCAGCAGCGTCCCGGTCATTCTTCGCTACTGAGTACGACACCGGCCTTTCGATTCCACGACGGCAACAGCATCTCGGTCGTCTCTTGCTTCGACACCGACGCTCCGCCTTAACGACGGAAGCAGCGTCCCCGTCGTCCTTCGCTACGACACCGGCGGTCCGACGCAACGACGGCAGCAGCGTCTCGTTCGTCTCGTGCTGCGACACCGGCGGTCCGACTCCAAGGGCTGCAGCAGCATTCAGGTCCCTTGCGCTCCACAATGACGCTCCGCTCCAACGACGGCAGCAGCGTCGCGATCGTCTTGTGCTTCAACACCGACGCTCCGCTCCAACGGCGGCAGTCGTCTCTGGCGTCGACACCAGCGCTTCGATGCGGCTGATGGCAGCAGCCGACATCGGCGACGACGGCACCGATGTTCCGATGCGGCGACCCGCCGCCGCACCCCCGGATGCCAGCGCGGCGACTTCACAGCAGGATCACGCAACGCTATCCAAGCTACAGCGCACCGATACTTAGCCAACAAGGTGCCCGTCGGAGCAGCGCTTTCGCAGCATCGGCCCCAGCTGCATCAAAGCACGCGCACCCCTCACGGAGATCGCGCTCGATGCACAGGTGGTACCAACGAAAGATCCTACGTGTGCACGACACCGCACCCGCCGGACACCGGTGCTGTGACCTTGCAACCGAACAACCGGACAAAGCCGCGCTCTCTCAGCGCTCGCTTATCACCCCACACCCGCAACGGGTGACGATCGCGTCCACTGCCTCTGCTCCGGCGCGCCGAGCGACCTGTCTCAGGCTTGACCGCGATGCTCCGACGCGACGGCTTGCCGCGAAACCTACCGTGCTGCAACGCGACGTCGACCAGCCACGGCATGGACGCTCCGACGTCTGCCCAGCGATTCTGGCCACACCACCTCGCTTTGACCTCGGCGATCGCCCACGAAGCATAGCCCGGCCTCGACATCGGCGACAACGGGGGGATAGCAAAATCTCACCACTCGGCGTATGGGACGCCCGGTCCACACGAAATCCATCGGCAACGGCGTCTGGTGCATTGGGTCATCTGGCCAAGGCGGCGCAACTGCAGCTGGACGGCCAAATGGTGCAAGACACTCCAACCCTCGGCGGCGCTCTTCAGCCAACCACCAAGCCGACTCGACACTGGGCTTCCATGCGGCGACGGCGACGACGTCCTGTCGGCCCCGCTACAACACTGATGTTCTATTCCAACGACGGCAGCAGCGTTCCGGTCGCCTCTCGCTACGAGACCGACGCTCCCACGCAACGACGGCAGCAGCGTCTCGGTCGTCACGCGCTTCGGTACGGACGCTCCGCTCCAACGACGGCAGCAGTGTTCCGGTCGTCTCGCACCTCGACACCGACCCTCCGTCCAACGACGGCAGCAGCGTTCCGGTCGCCTCCCACTATGACACCGGCGCTTCGGTGCAACGACGGTAGCAGCGTTTCGGTCGTCTCTTCGAACCTGGTGCATCGATGCGGCGCCGGCAGCGACATCATGTCGTTCCCCGCTACGACACCAGCGATTCGATGACCCACATCAACCGTCGCCACCCGGGCCGACTCTACATACTAGTACTGACGCGCAAGACTGACGTCGAAGCGAGTGACACGGCAAAAGTCGCTCCAAGACAGTGTACCGCCACCAAGCGTCGTCGCAGCGACGTCTGTCAACACACACGGCGTCAAACGACAAGCACCACCACCGGTCGCACGCAGCTGTCACGTCGCAAGAAACGGCAAGGGGATGGCGCGGCTCCGAAGGGCCGCTGCGGCGACGAAGGTGCCGCGCTGCGTCCCCAGCTTGGCTCTTTTCTACTACCACGCCCACAACGACAGCCATGCTTGGTGACGACCAGGCCGGGACCGGGGACGTCGAGAGCGTGGCCTGCATGTAGCGTAGCGAGTGGCCACGGTGACGCGCTGACCACGTAACAAGCGCCGGCTTGAGGCCGAGGCCGGCTTGATGTTTTGGCGCGAAGACGATACTTTGATGGAGGAGACGGTGGCCTTGCGCACCCGCGCCGATGACCGGCGGCTCGCCGTTGATGAACTGGAGGATCATTTTGTCGATGATCGCGGCCGTCGTGATGTCCGGTGCGACCCACGCGAGCTGGTACCAGAGGACCCGGTAGGGCCAGGACGGCTTGCAATATGATATCCTTGCCGGCCAAGGTCGTCGACTTGTGTCGCCAGGGGAGCAACCGGTCACGCAGGCGACTCAGTGCGTAGTCGCAGCGAGCGTTGATTACGTGCACGTTGTTG